GTCTGACGGACGCCAAAGTAGATAAGATAAAAGAAGCTGCAGCAAAACTCAGCAACGGTTGTGAATTCCTGACAGCTAACCAAGTTAGTGAGAAGCGAAAGTCAATCTTCAAAGTGTCCACTGGTTCCACTGACTTTGAGTAAGTTATTTTAGTTTTTATACTTTTTCTAATTCTATTTTTGTTCTAGCACACTTCTCAATGGCGGCATCGAAAGTATGGCCATCACCGAGGCGTTTGGTGAGTTTCGTACTGGAAAAACACAAATCTCGCATACTCTTTGCGGTAAGTGCAAAACAAGACAACAATTGTTTTCATTCTCTAACTGTGATGTTTACCACGATTTTAGTTACCTGTCAAATTGCAAACGGCAGCTTTGCTGGCGGAAAAGCTATCTTCATTGACACCGAGCAAACATTTCGACCTGATCGCCTCAGGTAAACATTTGGCACTTTTGATAATGAAAACCCGTTCATCGTTGTTTACTTTTCCGTTTTTAGGCAAATCGCAGCTCGGTTCAATCTCGACGAAGAGGCGGTACTGGAAAATGTGCTCTATATCCGAGCCTTCACTAGTGAGCACCAATACGAAATTCTCGGTATGGAACGTTTGGTACTCTTTATGATATAACTTCCAAATGACCTCCCTTTCAGACGCTGTCGCTGCCAAGTTCCACGAAGAGAGCGGCAACTTTAAGTTACTCGTCGTCGACTCGGTGATGGCACTCTTTCGTGTTGACTACACGGGCAGAGCTGAGCTGGCGGACCGACAGCAGAAGCTGGGGCAGTTCATGGCCCGTCTGCAGAAGATCTCCGAGGAGTACAACGTAGCCGTCTTCATCACCAACCAAATGACCGCCGACCCGGGTGCGTCAATGTCCTTTCAGGCCGATCCGAAGAAGCCCATCGGCGGGCACATTATGGGGCACGCCTCCACGGTGCGACTGAATCTGAAGAAGGGCCGCGGTGAGAATCGAATCGTCAAGGTCTACGACAGTCCCGACCTGCCCGAGAACGAGGCCACCTACTCCATCTCAATGGGCGGCATCTGCGATGGAAAAGACTAGGATTAGCTTTGAGGCGTGTTTTTGTTGTTGTTGTTTACCTCCTCAAAATCTACTTCACTCAGTTCACTTCTTTTTATTTCGATTTCTTTATCGATTCATTATCTTTTTAGTTATCTTTTACCAACACTTTTAACTAATTTTTATTCATCAATTTAAAACTTAACTAAAGTTTTTTACAAATCTGATTTATCTCTCTGAATACTTTCGATGTTGCCTTCCCAGCATTTTACCAGAGCTTATCTCATTTCATGTATGGTCTCTAGTGGAAAGCTCTATGACTTAAAGGAATAAAAATCCCAAGAGAACTAAAAGCAAATGGTCCAGGAAAGAGTATATAAAGGTGTACTTTCTCGTGTCTTCCGAGCTGTGTTCTGAGCAACTGTGGCAACAACTTTTTCAAAACTCACATTTCATCATTTCAAGCCATGCCACCACCTCTTCGAGCCCTTCCAGATTTGTGTTTGATTGCCGTTTTTAAACAGCTGACACCAGTGGATCAACTGACGGCGAGCCTGATGAGCCTTCGCTGTGAGGTTCTGGTGCGAGCAGCCATTCGTCGAGTGAAAACATTGACCTTCACATGTTCGGCGAATTTGGAGTTTGCGTCAAAGAAAATCAACGGCATCTGCCTTGCATCCAAGCCCAGCATGCAGCTGACGAATAGTGTGCCCAGCTTTGCCGACTACCCACTGATGACCGGCCGACTAAGCAAGTGGAACAGTTTGCAGATTGAGCAGCTAGAGTTCGACTACTGGACCGTTGAGCAGATTGTCAGCATCTTCTCGGCGGTCACCGATCTGAAACTGCTGGTTAACAGCAGCCATCAAATCGCCTTTCTGGCAGTCCTGCTGACGCATTGCCAGTGGAGACATCAA